CAAACAACCCACTTATCCCCGTTCGGATTTAACGTGGACTAAGGGTATGTCTCAGCTTCATCTCGCGCTATACATTGTTCGATGTCCGATGTCCGACACGTGCTCACCCATAGGATGCATCCATACCTCAAAACCAGCGAACGACAAACGGTGTAGCAAGATAATTCTCATTTCTTTTAGTCATCTGTGTTGGGCTTATCGGCCTATGGGAGGTTTTGATCGAATCATGTTGGCGCCGCGCTGCCGATCTGCTTAACTCGGAAAATTATATATGACATTTTCCGATAGCGTGCTTTATCACCGTTATGCGTGGTGTTGATCCGATTTGCATATCAATCAATCTGATAAGCGTAGGTGCCATAGCTGCTGTCTAAGTTTTGAACGTGACAGCCCTGAGTTTGGCGTTATATACTCCGTAAGTATGTAGAATATTCTTTCTCTCTCGAATTAAGTCATAAAACACATAGGTACTAGTAGTAGGGTGACCCCTCGTGCTCATCACATGATCCTCTGGCATGCATATAATAGATAGCCTGTCGTCGTAAGTTCTCCATTTCTTCATGGCCCGTATCAGCCGAGAGTGTAGGACTGTACTGAGAGATGAGGTGAGTGTTGACTATCGGGATTTGATCTAGGAGCGGTGTGACGATCTACGCCCGCGTCACAATATCTCTATATCTGTGCCACAGTTACAGCTTTCGAAGCCACTTTCGTATACAACCTTATGCATGATCTTCGAGAGAGGATAAAATAGAAATTCCACTTATTACTTGAGATTAAAATTCGGATATCCTATCTACTTGATCTGCGATGATAATATTTCTATACAAAACTCAATATCAAAATGAATATGGGCTATGGTTGCGGGGTATTTCCGATTTAACGGTTAACTTTCTAGCCCGCAAACTATATATTCTTGTGTATCCACGTTATACTCCCGTTGGTACCTCTTAAAACTACGCAGATTACATCTACAGTATAGTTATTAAACCATCTAGGAGTTAATGGTCTATTTGGCTCCTGACTATTGAGCGACAATAATATGCACGAGACAAATATTCAAAAGAATCCCAGATTTTTACTCTGTATATATACGCCGGTCCAATAAGAGATTCAAACAAGAACAAGACACTTCCAGTTGATGGATTCACGATTTGTCACCAGAATAATCGCTATCATAGTTCAGGACATAGGGATGAGCAGATTTACAACAATGTTTTTCATGTTAGATGGCCTTTGTCTGAAGGCGGCACTGGACCCTACTATTTAAAGTACACAGCACCACACTAACCTCACCATAAGAAAGAGAACTTAAGTTACAGATATCGGTTAGCATAGTTTCAACCCATCTTGGATGACCAACATATTACAGATATACTACGACCTATCGCTCAATAGCCATGTGTGATAGCTATTGGGGCTTAAACCGATCAGCTGCCTACGGTACTTATATATCTTCCGCGAACAGAGAGAAAAGTACACACCAACGGGGGAAAAGGGGCTTCTGTCTTACCCAAGTTGGATCAGAAACGCTAGACATTATCTTAGTAGAATAATATATATGGAGGTAACCTACTTGGTGGCTTGATTGGTCGCCTGAAACATGCAGACAACTAGTAAAACTAGAGTTAACTACTAGCTATTGGCATTGTTATTCTTAGTAAATGTTGTAACTGCTGTTGCGGGTAGAAGACAGTGACGCGTCATACAAGAGGCGATATGAGGTTCTAGGTGTGGCATAGGTCCTATTAAGTTGCACATGTCCCATCCTGGTTCATATTACTTGGATTTATTGATAGAAGTAGCCAGTTAGACCTCTGATTGACTACTTGGCCTGTGAAGATTGCTCAGCGATAATGGCGGTGTGATGAGGACTAAGAATTACCCGAAGCGCTTCGGTCGGTGCCAGATGTAGTGATTGGTACCAGTACATCGAAGCTTACGGAGCTCTCTACTTATGTGACCTTTACTTTCTGAAAACCGCATCACTAAGAAACCAGCTCCGGTTCTTTATTCATGTATAGGTGCTAGGAGTTGCTAGCAGTGATGATGTTGTCGCCTATTATAAGACATAGAAGAATAGAAGATGTTGCTATAAATGTTTATACCCGCCACGTTGAAGTCCAAAACCAGTAACTCCCATATTCCTGGGTATCCAAACGCATCTTACATGCGTAAGCTCGCTAAAGATCATGCTCGAACGCCAAACGGATGCTCTCATCCAGTAGAGCCAAGATATCGCTGTAAACGCCGGGAAATGCTATACTCTGTCCAGAATTAGGGATCAAGAACTGTCATCAACAGGGTCGTTGCTCTCCATCTTATGTTTTTGTGTCAATGCGTCGATAGCCTTGGTAACCTGCTCCTTCGCAGTAGTCTCCAAATCGGTCCTCGCATCAGCTCCAATGGTTTCAACGTCGCCCACTCGTTCATATAGCATTCGGGATATATTCCGATTGATATCGGTGTACTCGTCCTTCGACACAGTCTTTGAACGATAGTATGGCTTCAAGGCCGCACCGACCAGTTTCTGTATGTCGGTCTTGACCGCCAAAGATAGGCTGGGCCGGCTCGGAGACTTGTCGTTCGCTCTTAATAAACTCGAGCGATATGCTGCCCTTGGAATCCGGCGTCGGGTGCTGTCCGAGAACCCCTGTGACGGTGTACCTTCTGTAGAAATGGTTGGAGAAACATCGGGCGAAAAGGGTGGCGACGAGGGATGATTGGGTGTGGCGAGCTGTAAGGGGGATATCGGTCTACTCCTTGGGTGAGGTGGGGGTGTTGTGGAGGATAGGCGGGGTGAGGAGTGGTTAGATGGTACGGGCGAGATTGATGGGGAAGAGGGCCCAGGAGTAGCATGGTCAGTTGCTGCAACCGAAACCTGGGCAGAATTCCCATGAGAATTAGTGTCGTTCGAAGCGTCCTCGACTTCTTTCAGTAGGGACTGAAGAAAGCTTGGTTCGCTTGAAGTTTCCGCGTTGATTCGAGCAGAAGCCTGGGCACCAGCAGCCCTGGAAGACTCGCCATTCTGAGTAGCCAATGCTGCTAAGTCTTCAGCTCTGCGGGTTCGTGGACGCTTTAGCTTCCGTTCGGGCTCGGTGGGTTCTGGCGAGGGAGACATTGTCGGTTCCTTTCTTTTCCGGGCCGCACTAGGATCATTCTCGATCTCACGAGCCCTTTCAAAAGCATTCCACGCCCTCATCTCTTCCAAAGATTCAGGCTCAGGTGATGGTTCCCTCGGCACACGTGGCCGTGATGGTCGCGGAGCCTCAATATCAAGTAAGGCAGCCGTATCCCTGAAGCGGTTATTGCCTCCTTGTCGCTCTGCAACTTCAAAACGACGCTGCCAAGCTCGAAACTCTCGCTGATTGGCTTCTTCTCGTCGTTGTTGCTGCCGGGCACGCTCGGCAGCCCTATCATCATCAAACGGAAAATCTAAGTCCAGGTTAAGATGATCCCAAACGGACTGCCATACCCGAGCCCAGTGAAGGGAGTTCATCTGATTACGGCTCTGTAGCTGCCGCTGCTGTGCCCTCGTACGGCGACCGTGCCGGTCCCGAGCCCGCGATGGCCTATCAGCACTGTCGGGGGACAGCGCTCGAACACGTTGGGTCTCGCATCGTGAACAATACCAAGGCCCAGACGGGACAGTATCAAGCCCGAGGCAGTACGTATGCGAGGGGGCATCGCAACCATCACATAGTAGGAGAAACTCTTCGTTCTCAGAATCTCCGCAAATAAGACAAGGTGAAAACCCGGCAAGATCGTCTTCCTCGATGTACTCTATCACCATCGAAGGATCGACATCCGCAACTTGAACGCGGTCCTGCACAGCATAAGAGGAGAGTACGGGGCCTGTATTAGATAAGTCATTCAGTTAGTATACATATATATATATATATATATAAATATTTATCCGGCTGTACAGGAAAATTCTTAAGATTGAGAAAGGGTGGGTAGATAGTGACTGTGAAACATACCTCCGATGCGGTCACTGAGCTCCACAATGTTGAAGCTGCGGCGGCATATTGGACAGCTGTTCGCTCGTTCAACCCAGGGCTTCAGACAATTGTTATGTAAGATATGACCACAGGGGAGCAACTGGGCGATCTGACCAGAATCCTCACTGCCATCCACGCCATCTGCCTTGACGGAGGTGTCGGTCGACCTGCCATTTACTTGAGCATCAAGTCTTGGCGCGGCCTCGGCGGAGACGGCAAGAGGATCGCTGGCGCTTTCGCCAAGGTCTCCTAAACACACAATACAAGTGTCGGACATTAACAGAGGGTTCTGTGCCAGGACTATCTGCAGGGAAGCTAAGAGAAGGCATGAAGAGCAGCTGGCAGAAAGGGATAAAAGGCAGAGGAGTGGAAGGAGAAGGGAGAGAGAGCAGGTCGAGTGATGTGGGGAGAAAGCAACCGGCCTTTTGAAGGTGGACCTAAAGTCCGGTCTAACGCAAAACAGTCTGGCTGTCAACGTGACCTACCAAGTTTCAGGCGAATCATTGTTCAGGAAAATCGGACGAGGCACTTTGGGCGCAACCCTCAAGGTTGCGAAGTAGTAGTTGTAGCTGAGGAAGTGTGCCCTTGCATCCCTACTATTAGACACGCCCCTCTTTTTCTTCTTCTTTTTTTTTGTCTTTCTCTCCTTTTCTATCTCTGCCTCTCTTGTTCTTCTTCTTTCCCTTCGTACTATCAGACCGCCTGTGTAACGTAAACTTGCTCCGGTAGAATTAGAAAGGAGACTAAACAATAATGCAACGAAAACTTGATATTACCAGAGCTCGTTCAAAGCATATCGTGGTGCTGAATACAAGTGTATCGTATATCGAAACGGAAGGTTAATTGACCCGAAGGTACTCCGGTCTTGGTGCTTGAACAGGGAGGGCAATGCTATTTTCGAAACCTTATTCTTAACAGGGGCAAAGCGAGATACTACATTTAGACGCAGAATCAGGGAGGAAAATGCGCATAGGCAGGAACACCAACGAAAGTTAGATGGCCTACTCCGCAGGCTTATCTCGTTGGGTGCACGAGTTTACTCCACTTGTATTTCAGCAGTCCTGTGCCGTCAGAAGACATGGTCACACGTATTAAAAACTCGAGTGATCGTGAACGAAATAAAGATCCAGCGTGATACGAATGAAAGAGCGGTAGAGCAGACATGGCAGATGTGGAATAGCTGATACGCAGTCCTATTTGCAGAAGACCTGAAATCACGGGTTATATTTGTGTCTATTGGTTAAGAACCATTCGGTTCAGATGATGGCTGGGTATTCGTAACGAGGAGCCCTTGGGAGCTTTCCAGATCTTGAATTTCGCTATTTTTTATTTCAAACGTAAGATAAAGAAAATCCCATCGTGACACTTAAACCTCCGCGATTTCCCTGAGACGACGGATGGTGGAGCGGGTGGCAGCGGCGGCGGGGGTGCTGTAGCACAAGGATCGATCAGTATTCGTCCCACATACCTCTTCACCACACGATACACAGTCCAGTACGAACTGTCCCCGTGGCCATCGAAAGGAAAAGGATGGAGCTCGACTTACGAGACGGTGTAGGCACCACCGGCGACGGTCTTCTTGCAACCCTTGCACTCCCAGATACCAACAGCCTGGCGCTTGACGGTGTTCTTACCGCAGAAGGTGCAGACGTAGCGGGCGTGCTGGGACACTTCCATCTTCTTCACCTGCTTACGCAGGGAGGCACCGTATCTGTTTAAATCACGTCGTCAATACATTGTCCAACTCGTCGAAAGCTCGATTTCGAATCCTTCATTTAATCGTGCGGAATAGGAACGCGATCGGCTTCATATCGATTTCTAGGCGAAAGGGCGCAAGAGCATACCTGGTACCATATTTACCCGTGATACCGACCTCTGAAGTGTCATGTTAGTTCTCGAATTATGTTCCAGTTATTTATTAGGCGTATTTCTCTATGATAGAGCACTTACTCTTAGTGCGCTTGGTCATCTTGTCTCCGTGCAGCTGTTGAGGTCGAAGATGGATACAGTGCGGTAAGTCGAAATCGAGACTGAGGCTTTCAAGTGGAAGCGGTTGTGGGTGTCCAGGCTCGCTTAGGGTTCAAGTCTTGGCCTATCACGTGATGGATTTCTTTGCGAACTATGAACTATTCACTGAGTGAAACCTCCCACCAGCAGCTACCAGGGAAAAGGAATAGATTTTCTAAGTACTATCTTTTAATGAGACAAAGGATGCAAACGAAAAGTATGTCTTTACGAAAAATCATTCTGACCTCAAGACATTCATCTAATCCTCTCATTTTCAAATTTTCGTGCCAATTTTCTATATTTTCTATCTTATCTAAATTTTGCACCAAATCCGCTAACTAGTAGTTAGTCTGGCCCGCATGACATAAGAGACGGTAAATGCAACCAAATTTCCTTGCACAGTAGTAGTAGTCACTGGTTCCTTGCCACATTATGTTATCAAGGCAATACTAATACTTGTGCAATGCTCTGCATGTATGCCTTACTAATTGAATGCCGGGACATACCCTATACATTATTCTTCCATCATAGGACTACCACACTTACTATTGCCGAACAATTCTTTCGCCGCTCTAGTCACATGAACGTGGGATGAGCCCTTCCTCCTTCTGGTTAGTCTAGCGGCCGAGGCGATCAACTCACGTCACCAAGCAACCATGCTTAAGCTATGTGTATCTACGACTCTGCTACCTACACAAGTAGATCCTGTGTCTTTACTTTTCTTTTTGAAGAATATATACTTTATCTAATTGTTTGTGTAATTCAACCATCCTCAGTCACCGGTACATTCTCTCTAGCTTTTGGCAATGGAGTCTAAGAGGGAGTTCGACCTGATCCTTCTAGGCCCAACTGGCTACACGGGTAGACTCTGTGCAGAGCACATTGTTAAGAACTTTCCTACGGGCTTAAAATGGGCTCTAGCAGGGCGTTCGCTCCAAAAGGTTGAGAATGTTGCCAAAGATCTCAAGAATCTGAATCCCGATCGCGCCGAACCAGGTACTATATGAATCTGTACTACCGTTGAGAACAACGAACATTGTTAACCTACCAATTAGAGGTTCTGGCTGTCCAGCTCAATCGGGAGGATTTGAACTCGCTGGCTCAGAAATGCCGTGTACTTCTCAACTGCGTTGGGCCATATCACCTGTATTCTACTCCTGTAGTCGAAGCTTGCGCTAGCAACGGAACACATTATCTTGATGTGTAAGTAAATCATTACAGTCAGGCGGTGGACGCTATGGCTAATCTGTGCAGCACTGGAGAAACGCCCTGGATCAAGAGTATCATCGAAAAATATCATGAAACTGCCAAGTCAAATGGTGCTATAGTGCGTGTCATGTCCTTATTCCCTGTCCTCATATGGTGATCCCCTGACTGTTTTAGATAATCCCCTCTGTTGGTGTCGAGAGTGCTCCTGCAGATATGTTGACTTGGGCTCTTGTTAAGCGTATACGTGAAGAACTTTCCTGCGATACCAAGGAAGTTACATGCGCAATTGATGAATTGAAGTATGCTAGCCGCTCTTTGACCACCGGACCGGATGCATAGTGCTAATCAGGTTCCAGGTCCTCCGGGGCAAGTGGTGGTACTCTCGCCACAGTCATGACTATGTTTGATACCCTCTCGTTGCTTGATATACTCAAAGCAGCAGACCCGTTTGCGCTGGCCGCATCTTCACCACCCAAGTCTATCCCCAGCGAACCACTCGCGGAAAAGGTGCTCGGCGTCCGCTCAGTCCGTGATATGGGCACTCTCACCACCGCTCCAACAGCAATCGCCGACATCACTATCGTGCATCGTAGTAGTACGCTGATGCCAGAGTTCTACGGGCGTCGGTTCCATTTCAAACAGTTCCTTAGGGTGAGGAACGCGCTCGTTGGTGTTGCACTTCATTTTGCTTTCGTCGCCGGCTTGTTACTTTTGCTCCTGCCGCCAGTTCGGTGGCTCTTGAAGAAATATATCTACGCGCCCGGTAGTGGACCCCGCATGGAGGACTCAGTCAATGACCGGCTGGTATACCGTGCCGTGGCGACAGCTGATCAAAACACGCCGGATCCTAAGCGTGCACTTGGCAAGTTGAAATACGATGGAACGATGTATGTTTTCACGGGACTCTTGCTGGCTGAGGCAGCCATGACTATTCTGGAGAATGAAGAAAAGGTAAAGAAAGTCTCTCGTTGTGGCCTTGTAACTCCAGCTACCTTGGGCCAGGAATTCATTGACCGTTTGGAGAAGGTTGGATGTCAAATTGAGACCGAAGTGTTCAAAATTTGATGACTATCTGCAACTATGTGATGTTGAACTTACGTTTTAATGCCTTGGAGGATTAGGCTTTTTTTGTTTAACGTGCTTCCATGTATTATCGTAGTGTACCAGTCGAACTTATGCTCTTTTAGACCATACACATAATAAAATATCGAAAATCCATACAATTTTGAAGAGCCCACAAATAAAAATGGTAATTAATGCACATAGGACACCATTCCCCAACATAGAAACAAACAAAGGATAGTAAAACAAGTCACACGAATAACACTACAGATATATACAGCGCACCAGAATCTGCATATCAACATCGAAACCCATCACAATTTGAACATCCTCGGGTCTCGGAACACAACTTCATCCAACCACCACGCAATTATCTCATTGACCTCTTCTGGTTTCTCCCATAGGGCCCAGTGAGAGGTATTGATCTGCTTGAAAGTCATATGGGGTATAGTCCTGGTCATTCCCCTGCCGAGATGTGCCGGAAGAGCCGTATCGCGGAGGGCCTGAATGAAGAGCACTGGAGCGGTGATGCGTTGGTCCAGGATGGCGATTTCCTCTCTGTAATTGATTTCCCGGGTTCGGTACCAGTTAACTAGGTGCTGCTTGTTAGCTTCCATTTTAACTTTTTAAATCAATTGACGAATGCAAGGGTGGCATACATGGACCATGGAAACCGTTCCTCGAGAACTCCTCCGCATAGTATTCAAGTTCCTGAAAACTCTATTAGCATAACCGACCCTGGGTTTATTGGTGGAGGGATAGAAAGGGAATAAACCTACTTCCTCACTCAACAACTCCGAGGGAAGTACACGAGCCAACTTATCGGGCAGAATACCCAGCTCTGCATCAAACGCCAGTTTGTTTTCAGGGGTCCGCCCACCGTACATGGCGGAGAGGAGCTTCTTGATATCTTCTTTGGTCTGCGCGTACTTATTCAGTTCTCCACTGATGAATTGTAGCTGGTAATAGAAATGGGGCGCTATCCTTTCTACCATGTCTTGAAGGGGAAAGTATCGCCTCGTTGGCGCGGCGTATGGTACACAGACGGTGATGATGTGTGTTACTAGATCTGGGTGCCAGAGGGCTACACGGTATGCGAGAGCGGCGCCCCTATGTACATCAATATTTAGCAACTTCGACTTCGATGTCTAGACCGACAATTGAGGCCCAAGGAGAAAACATACCAATCATGTCCGGCAACGATAATCTTAGAGATTCCAAGCTGGGACGCGAGTTCTTTGATGTCACTGGCGCAACTCTTGTGAGAATAATGATGTGGATCTTTGGGAGCATCCTGTTTATCCGCATTGTTAGCATTGTTGTATTGGTGATATACCGGGTATGGTCCCGGCAATTGGCGCTCTGGTACGTACCGTCCTCCCGTATCCTAAGCAGTCTGGCGCGATGACCCTCAAACCCACATCAGTTAGCATGGGAATCTGATACCGCCATCCCATTGACAGGTCCGGGAAGCCATGAAGCTAAAAACCATGAATTAGCCTTTGATTGGTTATCTTTTGTCTTCGGCGATATTTGCAAAGACAGTTTGTGATCCCACAGTGTCACGTACAAGAAAGATTGTCGCTCTATATACGCCCGTATCGGGCTCACTGTAAAGATAACCTGCGGGAACATATATCATCAGCTCATATAAACTCCCATCAAGTCTCAAAGTTCTGGAAAATCGTATATCCTGGGAAACAAGAACCGTAGACTCTCATATCTGGCTCAGATTCAAGACCCTGGAAAAAGGACATCCGCATACCATATCTCTTGCCGTTAATATCAGCGAAACGGCGCTCGACTCGGGGATCGCCGGTTACATGGATCTTATCAACGATCATGATTGCAACGCAAGGTTTGGAGATTGTACAGCTTCACGGGTTAATGCAAGGTAAAAACACAACGAAACCCATGAGAAGCAGAGGAAAAATTTCTTGGTCAGGTCATCCTGTGCATACCGACTTTTTCTTTTATTTATAGAGCTGTATGGAGACCCCCGCCAGCTGTCTGTCACGTGAACCAATACTGATGTATGGAAAAATGAGGCTACAGGCTAAGGATTAGGCACTAGTATTATGAAATGTTGAGGGAATCTTGGAAGACTAGTCTGATGAGAGGTGTTGTCAACCGTTATATGAGAATATGATTTGTAGTGATCTTCAGAGCCAATGCCGCTAAGTTGTTGACTCCGCCGGATAATCGATAGCCTCGGTTGTGCCCGTTGATGTACTGTACGATTCCTTAGATGCAGGAGACTCCTCCCAATGATAGCTCACATACATACATAAAAGTCGGTGTTAGGAAAAAATTTAATAAATAAAAAATATTGAGGGCCAACGAAAAAAAAAATTTTGGTATCGCCTAGCATTCAGTAAATCACTGTATCCTCCTTATCCTCGACAACCTCGCCACCGTCATCTTCAGCGCCTCGATGGACGTCTGCATGGTCATTATTGATGGGTATATTGTTATTATTAGTAGCCGTAGCATCAGGCGGAGCTGCTTCAGAGTCTCTGTTATGGTTAGTCTCAGCAACCACTGTGTCAGCCTCATGGGTTGTATCCTTGTCTTCTTTGAGTTCGGCTTCGGGTTCAGGGGCTTGGTCACGGTCTTCTTCTTGAGTAACCCCATCTTGTTTCTTCAAAGACTCGTCCTCATGAGCTGGATAGCGCGCCTCGAATTCTGCAACCTCCCGAGAAACTGTGGCTTCCGCTTCCTCAACCTGTTCACGTATAATCGCTTCATCTCCGGGCCGAAGTTGCCATGGTTTATAGTACTGTAGAGACTCTGTTAGCCAAGTCCAGGGTCGTAGACAAGACAGGTAGGCATACTAATACAGGCTCAGTTTTTGTTTTGAGAAAACGGGACATTGCCAGTAGATTCGAGTGTCGAGTGCGCATCTGTAAATGATCATCCGCATGTCAGCCCTGGACCCAAGAGTAGATGAGTATCCCAACCCAAGAAAACTCACCGATTCCTCTTCATAAAGTCTCTGCTCCTTCTTTCGGATAGCGATCCGTTCCTCCCGTCTCTTCTTCTTCAACTCGCCGTACTCTTCATCCTGCAGCTTAAGCTTATCCTGTTGTCTCCGTTCGATATCCGCACGCCGCTTCTGAGCTGCTGAATTCGAGCTCTGCGAAAGCGTCCCCAGCAAAGCACCGAATAGACGTTGTCCACGCTTGCGTTCCTCCTCACGTCCACCTCGGCCGGGCCTCCGTTCCGGCTTGCGTTCCGCTCCATCTGGAGAAGATTGTTTGCGCTCCGCAGGTGACCGATCGCCCGTGTGATCTTGGTGTGAGCTAAGGCGACGGCGTTTGCTCTCCGAGTCGGCTTCCACAACGGAATTTCTTCGTTTCAAACCAGCATCTGGGGATGGGGGGAGGTTGTCCTGTTCGGGCAGCACAACTGCCGATGCCAGTGTCCTACTCATGTGTACACTGTTAGCAGCTGTCCCGGAACTGTATAGAGTTGACCGCTTACCCTTCAGCCATATCTGTCTGTTTCAGCAGTGAAACGCGCCCCAACACAAACACACTAAAATAGTTGGGGAATAACAAGTGGATGGCACCAGCTATCGATTATACGGTAAGTATGAAATAGACGGTGTAGACAACCTGCGGTAAAGCCGACTCCTTTGATCTGCAGAATCAATCCGATGAAAACTACTCGGTATCGCGATATGAACGGCGGGCCTCCCGTGTCCTGTAACGCACGGACCACGTTCCTGATATGGGGCGTTAAGTTCCGCATGGAAACTTCTTCCCTTTCCTTCGTCTTCTCCAACGCCCTCGGTCAGGTTCATAACTGCCTCTGTTTTACAACATTTGCTAGGGCATTTGCCAATCGTTATAACTGAAACTTCCTTCGTGAGGAATATTCTCTCACTCAGAGTTTTCTTCGTTCCCTGTTGTTAGCCACTTCACTTGAGCTTCTTTTGCATTTGTCACGCCCTCTTAAGTCGCCATGTCTCGCCATCACCCCGATCTCGTTATGTGCCGCAAGCAGCCGGGCATCTCTATCGGCCGACTGTGCGACAAGTGCGACGGTAAATGCCCCGTGTGTGATTCCTATGTGCGCCCCACGACTCTCGTTCGTATCTGCGACGAGTGCTCGTTTGGTAACTACCAAAACAAGTGTATCGTCTGCGGTGGCGAGGGAATCAGTGATGCTTTCTACTGTTTTGAATGTACGCGACTAGAAAAGGACCGAGACGGGTGTCCGAAGATTATAAACCTGGGAAGTTCGAGAACGGACTTATTCTACCAAAAGAAAAGTTTTCGAAATCATTGACCCCGCGCGATGGCCATTTCACCGCTTGTCGGTCCGGTTCGAGTCTATGGCGGAAAAGACTGCTCTGCGTTCTATGTTCCTGCTCCTTGCTAGAGCCATACGCCAAGGATTTCACAGTGTCGGACAACTCTAAAAGATAACTTAATTACAGAAGGAGAGAGATGATGGAGAATAGCAATCTAAGGGAGCTGGAAGAGAGCACCGCTCTACCTGCCGGGTCTTCTCGGTCTTGCGAATCCACGGTTTAGTCCGCCGTGCTGTGGCGGTCTCACTTCCTCCTGCAGCCTGTCGCCTGTGATCTCGTCCGGCGAAGATGCTTCGATCTGCACACTCATCGTTAACTTGTCTCAATCAAACATCTGCTCACGACATCAACTCGTACCTTCTTAGAAATCTTCAGGCCTTGGTCTTCGGCCAGTTGGAGGGCGTACATCCGGGAACTAGCATATAACATACGCTCCTTGATCGATGAACCCGATGGGCAAGTATAGACGAAGATCACCACATCTGTATCAGGATAATGATAAAATGTATAACGTGGTGAAGATGGGGAGATGTGAGATTCGACGGAGCTAGGAACAGTCCCGTTCTCTACCCCAGCAAGGACGAATGTCTCCCTTGGAATATCAATGGCCTGTATTTAGGGGAAAGTAGAGTTAGCACTCAATCAAAACCTTCAACAAGTCGGAAATCCTTCGCTCTTCACATGTACTTACCAGCTGCACCAAGTCACCCGGCTGCAGACTTCCCAGAGCATTCTTCGCCTCGTCATCTACAGGCATCTTGTACTGCATGCTAGATGGTGCACCGATGCCACCATTTCTTCTAGCAAAGGAACCCCCGATTCCGATGTCCCTACCGGGGGTGCCACTTCTCGCCTCATCCTCGGCTCTCCGGACGGCTTCCAGCTCTCGCTCTTTCTCGCCCATCAGCTCCTCGCGTTGAGAACGGCTCTTGCTAGAGCCGTTCTTCTCGGCATCTCTCTCCTTCCACGCCTCCTGGCCCATAACCTCATCCTCTTCCGTCGCGAAGATAGTCGAGGCAAACTTCTCGCTGCCTAGTTCCCTAACCAGCGTCGCACGGGTAGAAGCGAAAAGGGTCTTGGCGCGCACTGGAGCATTGGAGGGGATGTAGGTCAATGCAACGAGAGACGAAGACCCAGACTCTGGACGGCGAAGAAGAAGGTAGATAGGGGTTTTCGGTTGAAGGACGGAGGAGAGCTGGGAGAGAGAGGGGTAGAAGGCACCCGGAGAGGAGAAGGGGATCGGCGAAAGGGGAGTCAGACTCTCAGCGGTGATATTCACCGGGAGGCAAAAGATTGATGAATCCGAGGCGAAGTTATTGAAGGCATCATGTAGCTCCGAGGAGACTAATCAACATAATGATTATTAGTATGTCCCGTGCATACTTCGGTCCAGTAGAGAGCCGCGGGGCATGCTTTATAATGATCGTAACATGCAGACCCTGCAGTATGGCTACTTACCCGAGATTCCTGACTGCATTTTCAACGAACACCAGCCGTAGCCTGGTCTCTTGTGTAGATGTGACTTGTCAACCGGGCTGCGGCGTTGTTTGTTGTCTCTGGAGTCTGCTGAGGGGAAGTCAGAAGCGGTGTGCTTGGACAAGTGGGGTCTTAGCGTTGGCCTTAGTTTCAAGGTCCTTCGGGGAGCCTACGCCGACATTTACCTAGCCTATTCTACAAACAATTGGTGTTAGTTCATCCGATTCGAGACAACTTGGTCCTGAATTTGTCTAATGTCTTCACTAGTTGAACATAGGAAAAGGTATAACAGCGAAACTAACAGAAGAAGAAAAAGAGCTATGTACAGTCCACGCTATAGGATCAGATCTGAACGGCGGTCAAAAAGCCCAGAAGATAACGATAATCATATGTACTGATGATGCAGAGATCGCATTGCAATCGAAAACGCCACCATGCTCATGGTATCAAATGCTTTCGAGAACACGCAGCGGCTACTCCCCCCAGGGGTGCCTAATTTACTCCTCGAAACTGCCTCCCACGAAGGCCCAGTTGGACTTTTCCAGCTTGCCCTTGAGGAATTCGTACACGGTGAAGGTGACGGCCTGACCAGGAGCCACTCTCATCACACGAGGTGTGATACCCTTGTAGAAAGCACGTGCACCTTCTTGCTTGAACATATCATTGGCGATAGCCATAATACGTGATACAGCTGATTGGCCGGGCTCAGCGCGGGTCTTCTGCAGTCTCGTCTTGATTGTGTCGATGGGGGCGTTGGAGAAGGGACCGACGGCACCGGAGATCAATCCGATCACGGTCGTCTGGTAAGAGGGGAGCTGGGTATCAGCGTACTCGGGCTGCCATCTTTGGAGCGCAGCCTTGAGCTCGCTGTATGCAGTGAAGTTGGCGGCCTGGTTTGTACCCTGTCGGAGGGCTGTCAGGGAGACACCACGGTAAAGAGCGCTGAACCCTTCTTCTCTGATTACGGTGAAAAGTGCATGCGGGGCACTGCGGTACTTGGGCGTATCGAGAGGGTCGGCCAAACTGTGATACTGTGCTTGCAAACGAATCTTGACGACTTCCATAGGGTTGACAACCGCTACAGCTTCGGTGACACCGGCAGATAGACCGGCTGTTTTAATGGAACTTGTCAGTTTTTCGGGAAATAGTAAACGAGGTGACGGGCGAGAACTCACCAAGGAAAGTTGCTTTACTTGTGACATGTCCCGTCTCCTTGTCCGCAAGCATTTGCTTATACCACTCATAGGAGGTGAAACGGATAGCCATCTTCGGAATAATACCTCCCAGGACAGCTCCTAGACCCTTGTAGAGACCCAGAGCGGTCTCCTTCTTCACAATCTCAACACCAGTGGCAACAAAACCACGGGGTTTTACCTACATTGTGGGAGTGCTATTAGCTGGGGTAGATGGTGCATAGTGGAAGTCAAACTTACGCCCGGGGCTCTGGCGCGCCGCGAAAGCTGCATCCGGACCTTAACGGTATCTAACCATGACAGTGAGCCATTGCCTCTCAAGAAATCTTGAATTGGGTGTTCCCGTACCTAGAGGATGACATACGAGCGCCTCCATCATTCCGGCGCCACCACCAGCTGTTTCATAATTTAGCACGTGCCGCCTTTGAGTTGAACAAAATGAACCCTACCGATCAAGTTCACAGCCGGAGAAGCCGGCTTCTTGCTATTGCCATTGCCTTTGCCTTGCGCACTCTTCGTCGACATGTTGGGCAATTGTGTATGTGCGATTAATGGACTGTTACCGTGTCAATTGAGTTGCGACGCCCTTCCAATGGGGGGGGATATAGTTGTCTAGGTCAATGCAACGGTATGGGGAGAACAACAGCACGCGGGAGGAAGAAGAACTAAAGATAAAGGAGGTCGAGAGGAAGATGACTCAATTGTCGTTCGAGCGCCAGGGACGACCTTTTTTTTTAATTAAAGAAAAGAATATCGACGATATCGGACCTTCACAGGTTGACGTTAAAATACGGCGAGATACGGAAGTATAGCTACTACGTCCCTCGGCACAACTGACCATAGGGTATTTAAATCGGTGGATAGGGAAAGGGGGGCCACACTCTGGGGTTAAAGGATTTAGAAATAATAATAGATAATTTTCGGGAATGGGGATCATTAAACGGGCTCGGGTCAAAGTGGCGGCTTTCTTTTTTAGACTTCTTGTTACAGCGAACCGGCCGTGTAGGAGCTCTGACGGGGAAGCGGAGGTAAGCTCGCTGGACGAGCGGAAGATACCCGCGATTCAACCGAATCACGACTAAAAAGATTCGCGGACAGAAGAGAGTCCATGCGACAAGGTTATTTGAGTAGAAGCGGAATTAAGTACAATCTACAAGCCTTCTTCGTGGGCTATCTTATAGATATGCTTTCTTTTTCACGTCCCCGTTGGTCGTGCCCCCTACAAAGCGCACATACATAGTATAATACGTTAAGTATGTCATCCCGAGGCATCGGATAAATGACTAGAAGCAACTTCTTCCGCAGTTCGCTGTCAAGCCCCAAGTGCGGTTCCCCCAGAGTGTGACCTCATCACCCTACACCAATGACATGGCGGAACCAACCCTAAAGTCTTCAGCCAGTCAATTCTTCACATGCTGAATGAGATATTCTGGCCACTGATGGTCAAGCTGCCGTCGTCACCTGGCAGGATCAGTGACTTAAGTGTGCCCTTTGGCTCCAGAAATGCTTGTGATTGATACCCTACCTGTACTCCGTACTACTAGTACCAAGCACTAGTAATACAACCTGGGGTTGGAGTCTCCTCACTCTGACTAACCCCATTGTCACGGGAGATGTCGGGCCAAGATGAGAGCTTCGTTCAGCCGAGGCTTTTACCCTTCTTAGTCTTATCCGACGGTGGCCCTACGACTGACTCCCTGCACGGAAGGCCAGGCCACCAGATACCAAGAAATTAAAGTCTGACTGCATTAGTACACTGGTAGATCAGGAGCGGTTAGGTATTTTTCAGCTTCAGATGGCTAAAAAGATAAGATTTCCTTGCTTCTTGATCTCTGCTTCGGGGTTAAAATTGAAGCGGCTGTAGGTTTCTTTCAGCAGCCTTGTCGCGGTACATGATTTATCCACGCCTCCTGACTATTTATCCCCTGCGATCTATACGAATTGGATGAATCTACGGGTCCAAGACTTTCACGTTTCAGGGCCAATACAACAAACAACTTTCACATGAAAGCTGAATACAGAGTAGCATATGATTACTCTGCATTGTTAATGTTCTCATAGCACCCATCATCATGTATCATGGGGAGTGAATATGCACTGATAGTATGCTGGAACGGAGCACTGTACCAACTCCGTGTATCCCTTTGTCAATCCCTGCGATATCCAATTCGTACTAGCTGCGAGGCCAAGCTCACTCAATGGCCGAAATAGGTAGTTGAAGATGATCCGATCCCGGCTCAGGATAACATGTATTTGGAAATATCAGTTACATTGATTGGGAGCCTGCAAGCGGCGAAGCTCAGACACCGCATTAAAACAGACAGCTAGTGCTTCCATCATGGCAAAATAGCCACATTGAACTATTAGACATGAGAATAGGAAATCCTGATTTGAAGTTATCAGTGCTTAGCGCCGTTCGTATAGTCAAGATTCGCAATCGAGACTCTTTATCATGATATCGGATTCTCTACGACATTCAATTACCCTCACACTAAACAACCTACAAGCATGAGCCAAATGCCACGATAGGGCGCCGGCACCTCTCAATCAACCCAATATAAATCCGGACAAGCAATACGAATCGCTGTCTCTGTATGCTTTGTCTTCAGAACGAGCCAATGCGCAACGGGCAATGACTGGACAGCCAGGACACACGGCCCGCATCCAGCAGATCCCAAGTACAACCCTCCTCCTCATCGGGATCGGCATCGTTTGCATGCTGGCTTACTAGGTACTTCCCGAGCGTCGCCAAAAACGGCGGCGTAATCCGACCCGAATGTAATATTCTCTAGTCCCCATTGGCGTTCATTTTCTTCATCTCCGGACTAAGCCTCCCGCCCCAGAAACTCACTCACTCACTGAACTGGCTCCCAGGCTATCTAGTTTGCTGGACAATTGCTCTTTTGCCGGATACCGCTGAACTCGAGCCCTGGAGGTCTGACGGGGATAGCCTATCGGATACGTACAAGGACGTGTTGAAGCAATTGGGTCTCAGCGTGCTCGCACACTTAGAATTGAGACTTATGTTGTCTATTTCCCATATAGCAAACGTTATACTGGGCATTGTATTCCCTATTCCATATCTCTAATTAGTCAGTAATAACTGATCGAGTCCAGACTGCGTTCTAGTCCTGTCTTGGCAGACTCCGAGGGAGAAAACTATTTGCTGTATGTTTCTGTCCGGTGAAGAGCACGGGTTTGGGGATCTCATTGTAAGCTATGTGGATGCCGGTTGACTTGTATGTTCAAGCGAAGACGTTCGCGTCGGATTTGATGTGTACGATTGAGCAGACTTGTGTTGTACTCTGTTTTGTGAGTTTGTTTCCGCGGTTATCTGGATGGGAATGAGGGTCTCGAGGGTTGTGAGATTTGCTTTGGTAGCGATAAAGTCACGAGTGCTGATGACATGGTGAACTTTATAGGAAAATTAGGAATGGATAGTGGTGGGCCATTTTTATTTCGATAAATTGATTTCGAAGTCGTGGCTATTGTCTTATAAATCGGTTCTGAATCGCACGTAAGTCTTGTAGGTAAATTTACAAAGGAGAAGAAACAATCCTATATAACATCGGCGGAAAAAGTCCAGTCTAGGTTTCCACCAGACGCCCGCATGAACGCCCATGTTTAGCCTTTAAGACAGCGACCATGGGAAATAGAAGAAACTAAGAACGTGCACCTAAATGTAGCTCACTTTCACACCCATTCCGACGGTTCCCTTGATTTTCTGCCATCCAGCTCCGGTAATTCTCTGGAGACGTTCCCGCACGCCTTGCCTGCTCAGTGCCACCAAGAGCCCCAGCAGGAATAA